TTAGGGCTTAGGGTTTAGTCGGGGTTAAGGTTTCGGGTAGTTAGGATCATGTAATGACCCTATATTTACGCAAAAAGGTTCCCAAGAAGGTTTCATGAAGGGGCCTGATCTTCTATGGCCCCCGAAACATTTTCCGGAGACTCCGTTTAAATAGTATGATTCCAGTGTGCTTCCCAGACCCACCCTCCCCTCCCACCAAAAAGAAACACGTGCTGAAATGATTAGACCCAACTTTACCCCCTAAACCCCAAACCCTAAACCCTAAACCCTAAACCGTTGCAGCACCAGGCGAACCTCGAATCTCGGATGTTTTTCTTCGACGATCTCTTCGACTCTGGCGCCACGGATGATGACATCTTTGCGGCGGTGCAGGACACTTCGTGGATCAGGGTCTGCGGGGCCCACGCTAAACCCAAACCCAAACCCTGAGCCCCAATCCCATCCATAAGCACTTAAACCCTAAACCCTAAACCCTAAACCGTTGCCTAAACCCTAAAGCCCTGGCTGTCGACACCCGATGCAATGTACCCAAACTTCAACTATGAATAAGTGTCAACCGTATTCCTTACGGATCCCTCAAGGGTTTTATAGGGATCTTGAAAGCTCCTTATATGATAAGTCTAGACAGAGTATTACTAGAACTCGATATTCTTCCTAATATTGGGACTCCTCATTACAATTATGCTGGCCACCCCTCTCCTCCTGAAACACTGGTGGTTTCATGCATGATGGCAAGCTTCTACTAGGGTATACCCCTAACGCGCTATTTCTGTTCTTAATGCCCCCTGTACTACCTCACCGCAAAGGATTTCGAGTTGCTTAGAAACCCTAAACCCTAAACCCTAAACCCTAAACCCTAAACCCTAAACCCTAAACCCTAAACCAAACTAAAGGGTGCTTCAAAGGAACCCGGAGGACACAACAGTCTCTAAGCCCTAAAGCCCCAACACCCGGAAGCCCGAAGCTCGAAAGCCCAAATCCCTGAAGCCCCTCAGGGATCTGCTGTTTAGGGTTTAGGGTTTAGGGTTTAGGGGTTTAGGGTTTAGGGATCCAGGGGTATGGGTGGGTGATGAGGCCTTCCCTCTTCTCACGAATGTTCGAAGTCGTGTTGACTTGCCCAATGCTTCCAAGGACCTTATAGTTAGGGCCCTAGACCCCTTAAGACCCAATAATAAGGTCCCTGGAGGCATAGGGTTGGGCAAGAAAGCTATTTTGTGGCCGAACATAAAATAGCTTAGACCCTAAACCCTAAAATCCTCAACCCCAGACCCTAAAACTCCAACAACTAAACCTTGGACCCAAAATTCCCTAACCCTAACCCCTAAACCCCAAAGCCTGACTCTAAGACCCTAAACTCTACACCCTTGGAAAGGCTCACGCCTACCCGAGCCTTTGTGCTTTAAGTTCAGCGATGCGTTCCTCGCTGACCTTCTGGGCCATGACTCCAGCAGAGGGTTTGGGGCTCAGGTTACCTTATGCGGACATGTGTTTGGCAGGTTCTCCCTGCCAGTTTTGGTCTTGCATGGGTGAGCAAAAGCAGCACTCTGACCCCAGGCAGATTGTTCTACTTTGCTGGTGCAAGCAGGTGCGGCACTACCAGTATAGCCTCTGCTTGCATGAGAATGTGAAAGGTTTCGATCCTGCAGTGTTGACGGAAACGCTCGGTGACTTGTACACGTTGGAGACGCTGGAAATACATCCCGAGGATTTGGGCTGGGGTCGAGTGGTGTCCAGACCCAGATTGTTCACCATCCTGGTGCACCGTGAAAAAGCTCGCTTGATCCAGAGCATTCCTGAGCTCTTTGCCAAGGTGAAGGAACGATTCCGAAGACTGGGGCAAGAGACTGTCTGGTCGCGCTTCCAGCGGACTTGCTTGCGGAGGAGAACCGCGTCAGAGCTTTGCGTGGATTGCCGCCAGTTCAGCAACGCACTGCCGATTGGCGTTACTTGGGACTTAGTAAGTAAGGTTATAAGTCCCTTAATTGGGGTTATAAGTCAATATAAGTGCAGTTACCTTAATTATAGCCCTACTTACTAAGTCCCATGATCCTTTCAGTAGGACCCAGGGTTTACGGTTCAGGGTTTATGATTGTGTCTGCTCCGAGAGGTACTCGACCCACTCTGACGTCGAGAGAAGCAGCCGGGATACTCTGGGAGTTTACAGTGTCCTTGTGCGGATTAAAACCCTAATCCGGGTTCTTGTTAAGGGGTTGAATTTAAGTTACTACAATTAAGGAAGCCATACTATTTACTATAGATCCCTATTGTGGTAACCTAAATTACACCCCTTAGCAAGAACCCAGTATTTCTCAATCCCAAGCTCTTGCACCCCAACACCCGGAACTTGGGCCTCTAAACCCTAAACCAACCCTTAATCCCTTAGCCCCAAACTGGGTTTAGGATTGCAAGACAGACCAAGACTTAATTGCTTTGGGTTCACGGTGGATGTTTTCCGGTGATGGTAGTAAGACCCAACTCGCCGGAACCCCTGCTGTCAGGAGGAGCTGGTTGCAGCCGTCGGCGGGGAGTCTGCTTCTAGGCTTTCGAAGCACTGGGGCTTTTAAGATTCACGGTTATGGTTGAGGGCTTAGGGTTCAGGATATACGGGTTTAGGGTTTCCGATCCACGGGTTCTGGGGGTTCAAGGCGTAGGGTTGCCCGCTATACTCTAATCGTGATGCTTTCGCTGATGATGTCGACGATGATGATGACAGCCGTCGGCCATGGTGATGGCGTCCCTGCCACTTTCAGTGCTTGCAAGTAGTAACTCTGCATGTACTCCCTTGATCTAAAGTTGGGTTCCAAGCCGAGGTACACCCCGAGATTTTGTGTTTAGGGTGTACGGTGTAGGGTCCCCAAGCCCTCGACCCGAAAAGCAAGAGATCCTCTCCCCTAGTCTCTCTTAAGCAGAAATCCTTCAACATAAACCTTAAACCCTAAACCCAAAACCTTAAACTCTAAACCTTAGACCCTAACCCCAAAACCTTAAACCCTCAACCCCTCGGGATGTGCGGCTTCATGTTCTGGAGACGTTCCTTCGAACCGCAATGGTTCGAGGCTTAGTAGGCCCTGCCTATGGTCTCCATTGTCGTTCCTCTTTTTGTATAGCCAATTTCATACTTTAGGATCCTAGAAGGTAATAATTAAAAAGGAGCGCTTTTCATATTTAGGCTTCTAGAAGGTGACATCTCATGTTTAGGATCCTATAAGGTAACTCCAAAACGGAGCTCCTTTCATACTTAAGATCCTATATGTAAGGCAACTCAGAAAAGGATCTACAATGTAGACTGCAGGTCATACTAGACCCTGAAACTTGAGAGCCCTGAACCCCAAACCCTCCCTAAACCCTAAACCCTAAACTTACCCTAAACCCTAAACCCTAAACCACCCCTGAACCCTAAGTCCCCTAAACCCTTAAAACCCTGAAAGAGCCCGCATAGTAGCCTTTTGATTTGCCGTAAAGGCACATCACAAGGATCCCTACCCATAGGCCCCATAGTAGTTCCTTTTTGGGATGACCTTATAGGATTCTATATATGAACCCCAAAAGGAGCTACTTTAGGGCCTATGGGTAGAAAGAAGTCTTGAAAAACCATGGGACGTAGGAAGTAAGGTGAACAACGACCTGAACTGGGGGTTAGAAGAGGGTTTAGGGTTTAGGGTTTAGGGTTAAGTATAAGTTATAGTTGCCTTGTTAGCAGCCCCGGCTACGAAGTCCCATTATCCTTCAAGTAACCCTAAACCCCCCTTTTAGAACCCTACTCTGGTAACCCTTCTAGATCCCTTAAAGGCACCCTTATGGATCCCTTAAACGAACCCTTTAGATCCCTTAAAGGAACCCTTGAGATCCCTTAAAGGAACCCTTTAAGGAACCCGAAGGAACCCTAAACCCTAAACCCTTTAAGGAACCCTTGCAAGCAACCCCACCTCCGAGCCTCTGAGGTTTGCATCCTCGCCTACGGCGCCACGGGCAGCGGCAAGACCCACACGGTCACGCAGCTTGGCGATGTCCCGAATGGGTTTAGGGTTTAGGGTTTATTTAGGGTTTAGGGTTTAGGGTTTTGGGGTGCGAGCGCTCCCAGGACCGATGCT